CGATCATTTAAACGATGCCCAATTGGCACTAAAGGGGCCTAAAGTGTGCCTAGAAAACATCCCCCACACCATTACACCACCACCACCAGCCTGCACAGTGGGAACAAGGCATGATGGATCCATGTTCTCATTCTGTTTACGCCAAATTCTGACTCTACCATCTGAATGTCTCAACAGAAATCGAGACTCATCAGACCAGGCAACATTTTTCCAGTGTTCAATGGTCCAATTTTGGTGAGCTCTTGCAAATTGTAGCCTCTTTTTCCTATTTTGCCGTTTCGTCATGAAATCAAAATTAACCCATTTACTTTGTTAGCGCACATTACTAGTATTGTGGCGAACAATTAATACACAGAAAAAAAATGTGCTAAAGTAAAACCATATGATTGGTTGATTAGATAATTGCATTAATGAGAAATTGAATAATCCTTTAGGTGAGTGTATATAAAGATAGATCTACTATAGATAAGTTGAACACTAGGGTTGGGTATCGAGAATCGAGTATCGATTGGAACCGAGACTAACTTTTTGTTTTTCCCGGAATCGTTCAAAAGTTAAAATTTCGATTCCTAGTTTCGATATTCACAGTCCGCCGAGCGGAAGAAGAAACCACCACGCGAGTCGAACATGAGTAGCTTACATCAGCGATCCAAAGTGTGGCTTCACTTTTCTAAAAATAACGAAATCTCGGCAAAATGCAACATTTTTGACAAAAGGAGTATTTTTACAGAAGGAGTATTTCCTTCAGAAAGGATTATTTCCTTCAGAAAGGCCGTTGGTTAGCAAGGTTAGCTAAACTTTTTTGACCCTGCCTCTTAAAAGAATCGGAATCGAGAATCGTTAGGAACCGTAATCGAAACAAGGAATCGGAATCGGAATCAGAATCGTTCAAATTCAAACGATACCCAACCCTATTGAACACTGTACTACTGAAAGCCACATTTTAATTTGATTTCCATTTCATCTAGTCATGAAATTAGCTACACTTAATACACATTTCAATGATCAGCCACACACACATACAGAAAAAAACAGTCTATTTGCACCTGACACACTTTTGTTTCATCCCCTTGAATCACTACACGAGCAAGACAAGTCCCCAAAGCTCCGGCAAACAGACACAATGCGCTGCGGGCCGACTATCAATGCTAACTACCTCTGAGGCAAACTGGGCTCACCCATTTTTCATGCTCACAGCGCAGCTGACAACTTGATACTTGCTTGGGGAAAAGAGAGGTCGAGCGCTGCATTTATATGGGGAGGGGAGGAGAGCCACTCTGATCTACATTGCAGTTGCGGTGTGTGTTTTATTCTCTATAGAGACTGTGGCTGCATCTTATAAAAAATGGTTCTGTTTCAAATCAGCCTTTACCATTTGCCAAAGGAGGCAAGTGGATGTGAGCACATTACTGGACACAGTGTGTGTATGTGTGTGTATGAGCACAGAAGGTCATGAGGCGGCTGGAGTTTTCACCTATAGATCTATGGACAAAAATGTGTGTGTTTGTAAAACTGGGTGTTACGTGACAAAGGTCATTCTAAAACAAACCCAGTAACATTTTGCTGTTTCATCATGAAATCAAAATTAACCCCATTTACTTTGTTAGCGCACATTACTAGTATTGTGGTGAACAATTAATACACCGAAAAAAATGCGCTAAAGTAAAACCCCGCCCTCTATTCAAAAATTGGTTACAACTTCCGGTTCACGGGGACTTTAAATGATTTTGCATTACTTTTATTATATTAATACTTTTTATATTTTTTCTTGTCATTTTAAATGTTTTTTTTATCTTTAAATCTAATTATTTTATCTTTATTCTCTATATTTTTTTTATTTTCCATTTCTTAAAAAACAAAACTCAAAAGTATGTAATATATGTAATATATGTAATATATATGTGTGTGTGTGTGTGTGTGTGTGTTAGGGCTGTCAAACGATTAATCGCATCCAAAATAAAAGTTTGTGTTTACATAATATATGTGGGTGCACTGTGTATAATTATTTTATATATATATAAATACACACACGTGCATGTATATTTAAGAAAAAAATATGATTTATATATAAAATATTTCTATTTATATATAATATAAATTATATATATAAATCTATATACAGTATATACATGAAAATATTTCTTAAATATATACAAGCGTGTGTATTTATACATATAAAATAATTATACACAGTGCACCCACATATTATGTAAACACAAAATTTTATTTTGAATGTGATTAATCGCGATGAATCGCTTAACAGCCCTATTTATAAAAAATATATATATATATATATATATATAATTACACACACATGCATGTATATTTAAGAAAAAAAATATTATTTATATAAAAATTATTTCTATTTACATAAAATATAAATTATATATAAATCTATATACAGTATATACATGAAAATATTTCTTAAATATATACAAGCATATGTGTGTATTTATATATATAAAATAATTATACACAGTGCACCCACATATATTATGTAAACACAAAATTTTATTTTGGTTGCAATTAATCGCGATGAATCGCTTAACAGCCCTATATAAAAATATATATATATATATATATATATATATATATATATATATATATATATATATAAAATTACATGTATAAAAGTAAATATAATGTAAAACTATTTTTATATATTAAAATGTAAAATAAAAATAATAATTATTATTGTCTTTTACAAAAAGGGTGCGAGTGTATTTGTTTTTGTGTGACCCACAAGTCAAGTGTTGCTGGCTGGCCTGTTGAAAAAGGTCAGATAAAGTTTTCATGCTTTGACTGCCAAAAACCATGCATGGCTTTCTCATTACCAAGACCATCGACCTCTATTGCTCATCGAGTGAAAATGTACACACCTCTGTGGGTGGAAACTGATCTTTTTAACAAGAAACCATGGAACAAATAATACAATGACATCTAGGACGTATATACCCCCTAAAGACCATGTATCAACCGTCAGACATGCATAATACAAACCTGTGTGAAATTAATTCAAGGGAGAATCTGTTTTAAAACACAATGCAGAGAGAGAACAGGCTGTTCTATCAGAGAGAATGCCCTAGATAATAAAGATGACATAATATAAATCATAATTGTGTATAATACCACACCTTTTTACCAATACACTTTAATGACTTTTCTATGATTATTCCCATTGTTCAAGAATACCGTTCAGAGGAGAATCAGTCGGCTCATTCTCCTCTGACCTCTAGCATCAACATGGCGTTTTCGCCCACAGGACTGCCGCATACTGGATGTTTTTCCCTTTTCACACCGTTCTTTGTAAACCCTAGAAATGGTTGTGCGTGAAAATCCCAGTAACTGAGCAGATTGTGAAATACTCAGACCGGCCCGCCTGGCACCAACAACCATGCCACGCTCAAAATTGCTTAAAGGGATGCTCCACTTTTTTTTTGGAAATAGGCTCCTATGACAACTCCCCCAGAGTTAAACGGTTGAGTTTTACCATTTTCTAATCCATTCAGTTGATTTTCTGATATTTAGAAGAATATCGGTAACCAGACAGTTTCTAGTCTCAGTGACTTCCATATATTTTTTTCCTACTATGGAAGTCAATGAGACCAGAAACTGTCTGGTTACTGATATTCTTCTAAATATCAGAAAATCAACTGAATGGATTCGAAAATGGTAAAACTCAACCGTTTAACTCTGGGGGAGTTGTAAAATGGGCCTATTTCCAAAAAAAAAAGTGGAGTATCCCTTTAAATCACCTTTCTTTCCCATTCAGTTTTGGAGTTCAGGAGATTGTCTTGACCAGGACCACACCTCTAAATGCATTGAAGCAACTGCCATGTGATTGGTTGATTAGATAATTGCATTAATGAGAAATTGAATAATCCTTTAGGTGAGTGTGTATATATACAGATATATATATATATATATATATATATATATATATATATATATATATATATATGAGAAGAGTTCAGATGCAAAAGCCACTAAATGCCTAAAAAGCCAAAAATTACCATTTTTATCAAGCTTGTATTTTTAAGTTCAGTAATTTCACTTAAATGACAATTAATAGGTAATCTTCATTGCCATTTAAGTGAAATTACTGAACTTAAATATACAAGCTTGATAAAAATGGTAATTTTAAAAGAAAATTTCAAATGGCATTTAGAAGATTTTGCATCTGAACTCTTCATATATACAGTATATACATATATATATATATATATATATATATATATATATATGAAGAGTTCAGATGCAAAAGCCTCTAAATGCCATTTGAAATTTTCTTCTAAAATGACCATTTTTATCAAGCTTGTATATTTAAGTTCAGTAATTTCACTTAAATAACAATTAATAGGTAATTATCATTTCCATTTAAGTGAAATTACTGAACTTAAATATACAAGTTTGATAAAAATCATCATTAAAGAAGAAAATTTCAAATGGCATTTAGAGGCTTTTGCATCTGAACTCTTCATATATATATATATAAGTACATTCTGTACACATCGTTTATAATTTATAGTTCTGTCTTATTATTGTAAATTAAAAGTGTACCGTAATCCACTGACTGTAATACACAAGCAGCCAAAAACAACTGTCTCTAGAATAAACACTAGCGCTATTCCTGCATTGATGGGCAGCGTTCACTCCCTTTTCTTTAACATGAGGGAAAAAAAAAAAAAAAAAAAAAAATCAATAAACCTTTCAGACACAGCATCCATTTGGCAGGGCTGGTCCATCTCAACTTTCTCAAATGACAGAGAAGAGGTGGTGTGGGGGGAGCAATAAGAAATGGCATCAGGTTACTTGTGATTGTATTCTATATGTCGTATCATCAATTTAGAGAGAAAAGAAAACAGCACATCGCTCCAGATGAGAGCACTTTTACAGTAAAACCACATAGATACACTACGCTAACATTGCCTATCGGTACATGAGCTGTATTGATCAGAAAGTGTTGATTCTGAAGGCAAAGATTGATATGATTCTCCTACCGTGATGATTGTCCTCTGACTGGTTGAATCCGCACAGCTGGCAGATAGAGCGAACCCAGCGGGTCATCTCCTCCTCCGTTTCGGCCACCAGGTAGAAGGTCCTCTCGGCCGTCTTGATGTCGAACACAAAGCTGTCCTGGAACTCTTTGCGTTTGAAGGTGAGTCCCGCGTCCACCTGCTCGCAGCAGTGCAGGTCGATGATGCGAATGGGCTTTTTGGCATGGTCACTCTTGTAGTACTCGAGAACATCCGGGTCTCCACTCATGCGCCCGCTCCGCAGGATAAACCAGCGCTTCTTCCAGGCCTATAGAGACAACCAGAACAATGTTTGTGGATAAGCAACTATTAAAAACAGACTTGTTATAAAATGTTATTAGTTTAATTTTTTTTTAAATGTCATTTATTCCTATGCTGATGAATTTTCATGTCACATGATCCTTCTAAAGGATCCTTCTTGCTGCTCAAGAAACATTTATTATAATATCAAAGTTGAAAACAGCTGTGCTGCTTTATATATACTTTTTTTTTTTTTGAAAACTTGATGCATTATAAATGTCTTTACTCCCACATTTGATCAAATTAAAGCATCCTTGCTGAATACAATTATTAATTTCTTACTGACCCCAAACTTTAGTGTATCTTTATAATAATATGTATCATAATTGTATAAAACATAATAACAGTTTACAAAAATAATGTTATTTTTTTAAATGATAAGTCTACATTATATATACAACAACAGTTCTTAGAGATATAAAAATGTTATGATTTTAAAACAATGTCTTAAATAAAACAGCTTTAAGTATTGTTTCGATTTCATAAGAGAGTGAATTAATTTGAAATATTCCTGTGAATAACAAAATTGTAGTCTAAAAAGATATAGACACTATTTCACTTCTCATGGGTATCTATTTGTATTATTTGGTTTTATCATGTTCTTTTTTTTTTTTTTCATTTTAGTACATGACAATTTCTGGTCTCATTGTACTGTTAATTCCAGTAATAATACCGAAATATTGAACTATACTGTTCAAAATATGAAGCTGACGTGAATTCTAGTTTGTTGTTCAATTTTTCAGTTTGTGCTTAGTTTTCACTGATCAAAACCAAGATTGGGCTGGAAGTGTGTTTCTGCGGGTGTGTGTTCTATTTGAATGTGTGTGTATGTGTGTTTTAGAGAGAGTGGCTTATTTAAGACAGGTGCTACTCCCACACAGTTTCCTGCTCAGATCAAGCTTTGAGGGGGAGACAAACACACACTCACACGTTGTGTTTTATGCTGACTTTCCATAGCCATAATGGTTTTTATTCTGTACAAATTGTATATACTATCCCCTTAGACTAACACTAGTCTAATCCATCTAACTAGATCACATTACATTTTCAAAAGAAAAAACATGATTTATAAGCCGTTTTCTCATGTGGACTGAAAAATGTTCCCACAAGGACAAGGATTTCGCATTTTGCCATCTTTGTGTGGACATTTAGTCCTGATAATGTAGGGTTTACCTGATACACACACACTGCATTATGACACCAGTAAAAAATGGCATGCACACTCCTGGGAATGAGTCTACTGTTTGATGATCCATGACATATATATTACGTGCCGCACATGCACACAGAATTTTCTCAGCAAATACACATACAAGGATTCCCACTTATACAAACACACAGGTGTTTCATTCGTAGTAGTTGGGAATTTCCCTGATTTGAATGTAAATGGACTCTTCTGCTGTAACCACATAAAACAGAAATACATTGTAGGTCTAAACATGTATTGAGGAATACAATACACATATAAGCTTATACTGCAGTTACCACACCTCAAGACAATGTTCAGTTGTTGTATTTCAAGACATTTGTCAAGTTCTTACGCGTCTCATCCGATTGCCGATTCCAAAACATTTTAGAGCTAGTAAACTGAGGCTTGAGCCATTGATAGCAGACTAATGCAGTTATTGATGCAGTTATACAGTATATATATATATATATATATATATATATATATAGAGAGAGAGAGAGAGAGAGAGAGAGAGAGAGAGAGATTAAGCATGTGTGAATTACCTGAGTCTGCGCATCTCTCAACAGTGTTCGGCAGTAGCGTCTCTACTAATAGTGAAACTGTAAGTTTCTCTGCTTCAAGAACAACGTCGCTATAAGAAATGTCAATTAGCTTTAATGTTGCTAAACAATTTTACTGATAAAATCGTCAAATCAGCTCTGACAACTTGTACTAGTATGTGTGTGTTTGAGTGGGAGAGAGAGCGGGAGCTGATGTAGGCTTAAGGACCTTTGAAATAATTGAAATCATTTGGTGAAGAGATTTGGACATGTTATCCATGTGTTTCTAATTAATTCTAATATAATTGCACACCTATATACAGTATATAACGTTCGTAAACCAATCAGATTTAAGCATTCAACAGCCCCCTAGTATAAATCATACTAATGTAAAAGTGTATGTTAAATAATGATGTAATTGTGATGATTAGACAGACAGACAGACAGACAGACAGACAGACAGACAGACAGACAGACAGACAGACAGACAGACAGACAGACAGACAGACAGACAGACAGACAGACAGACAGACAGACAGATAGATAGATAGATAGATAGATAGATAGATAGATAGATAGATAGATAGATAGATAGATAGATAGATAGATTTTGTGCACTGTAGAGAGTTATTTTGGCAGTGACAGAACTAAGTACAGAAAGAAACAGCCGGATAATGGAAAGAGGTTCTGTGGCCCAATGCCAGAAATTTACTTCCGCCCCATATCACTCACTCACTGTCTCTCTCTCTCTCTCTCTCTCTCTCTCTGTGGCTCTTGCTGACACACAGGATCCCACAGGCTCTCTTTCTTCCATCAACACACACACATACACAGACAGAGCCACCTCCGCCACCAGACCAGGGAACCAAGGACACTGTTTCCACTAACCACTACACCCCCGCTCTTCCCGGTCCTGCATCCAGCCTCACTGTCCGACAGGAAGCGGAAAATGGATCCCACTACACATCCTGTGTTTTCTCAAGCCTGCTGTTGACCTACCCTTCACATCACTCCTCTCACTCCATTCTACTGTCGCTCACAGAACAGAACACTGGCACACTGCATACTACCTAGTGCACTAGCACACTGGCTAGTATTTTTTTGTTTGTTTGTTTAATAGTATGTGGAATAGTGTGAAATATGCAAAGGTAGAACCATTAAAAAAATTGTGAAAGTTATGAAAATAGGAATTGTTGGTCATCCAACAGAAAAATTATCAAACACTGAAAAGAGTTGTTCTCCGTAATATTTTGCAAAAACATTGATACTATTTTTCAGGATTCTTTGATGGATAGAATGTTCAAAAGAACAGAAATTATTTCAAATAGGTTTTTTAAACCTAAAAAGAAGAAATTAAAGTTTTTGATGAAAACATTCCAGGATTTTCTCCATATAATGGACTTCAATGGGAACCAAACGGTTCAAAGTCCAAATGAGAGTTTCAGTCCAGCTTCAAAGGGCTTTAAACGACACCCGACGATGAATAAGGGTCTTATCTAGGACCCTTCGAGTCATGACTCAAAAAAGATTTGTTCATCTTGATGAACGAGTTTGAACAGGAGAGTCACGAACGCTCATCACAGAACAGAGCAAGGCGACCATTTGTGCTTATAAAACGTACACTTTTTAATTTTATTTTTTAAATGAGCAATCATTTCGCTAGATAAGACCCTTATTCATCGTCTGGTGTCGTTTAAAGCCGTTTGAAGCTGCACTGAAACTCTCATTTGAACCTTGAACCATTTGGTTCCCATTGAAGTCCATTATATGGAGAAAATCCTGGAATATTTCCATCAAAAACCTTAATTTCTTTTAGACTGAAGAAAGAAAGACATTGACATCTTGGATGACATGGGGTGAGTAAATTATCAGCAAACGTTTTTTTTTTTAAAAAGTGAACTACTCCTTTAACCTTTTACCAAATGTCTTGGGGTATCGCAATAATATCGTATCGTGTTGAGTATCGTGATATGTATCGAATCGTGACACAAGGGTATCGTTACACCCCTAGTGTAATTACAATGTTACAAAGACACCTCAAAATAAAGTGTAACCCAAATTTATTTATGTATTTTTTTGGAAAACTGGGAATTTTAGTTGGCTGTCCAACAAACAAATTGCATAATGTGTACGGTGAACACACTGTATACTGCAGAAATAGTAGTTTTATAGCATACCACAACTGCCTGCCACTCATCTTCAGCTGTACCCTCTGAATTATGACCGCTATCAGATCACTCAGAGCAGAAGTGAGGATGTGCTGACAGGAAATTAACACTGGCTCCAAATTTAGATGCAGTTTAGCTATAGATGCAGTAAATATCTGAGAACTGAAATACTTTCTGATCTCATGTGATTTCAGGAAAATAACAGAACACTTGTACGCATGCTTTCTAATTTTCTGTTTGACGGTCCATGAAATTTTCTGAGATACACATGCACAATATACACAAGGGTTTCCACTCATGTATAAACACACAGGTGCTTCATGCCCAGTAGTTGGGATTTTCCCTGTTTTGAATGTAAATTGATTCTTCTGCTGTAAACATGCTACAGAAATGTAACACAATGATGAAGTTCACAATGGTCATTTTCATCAATCACCCTAGGGATAATGTGCATGGTTTATTTTGCAACAATGGCTGTATAAGTGAATAAGTCTGACATAAATGGCAATTTACCAAATAATATAAAAAAAATATATTTTAGTATGTGAGAAGAGTGTGGCGTGGACATCCTGTACGGTGTTTGATTACTTACAAATTGCAAATTCCAAATTATGACAAAGAATGGTCAGTAACATCATCTATTACATTACAGATTTAAGATAATGTAATCCGACTACTTTTTGATTACTTATAGATTACTTTTGACCAAACTCATTTATCACATTGGATTGAGTAGGATAATCTTGATATGAAAATAAACAGAGAAAGAAAATATTTTCCATTCTTTGTCATCAACAACATCAAATCCATTAAATATTACATTATGTTAGGGTTTCCCATCTAGATTCCCATCTTCATGCAGTTTAATTTAAAAAAAAGCCCATTTTAGGTGTTAATATGTCCATTTCAGGAGCTAATATGTCCATTTCAGGTGCTAATATGTACATTTTGTGCGCTAATATATACATTTCAGGTGCTAATCTGTACATTTTAGGTGCTAATAAGTACATTTTAGGTGTTAATATGTACATTTTAGGTGCTAATGTGTCCATTTCAGGAGCTAATATGCTGA